AAAAAAAAAAAAAAAAAAAGGAAATGTGGAAACATGATAGGACATATCTGAAACACACTAAGTCTGTACTTTGGGAAGGGCAGAAGTTAAGGGTTAATCTAACTACTACCCCAACTGTCTTAGGTACTGAAGAAGACTTGGAATTCTATGTCAGGAAGTGTGGTGACATTCTTGGAGTGACCAGTAAACTACCAAAGGACCAACAAGATGCCAAACATATCCTTGAGCACGTCTTCTTCCAAGTCGTGGAGTTCAAGAAATTGAACCAGGTACAGAGCTTAGAAGGCACAGTGTAGTGGGAGCCCCTCCAATACTGGTATCATCCATGAACTGTGCTTGTCATGTTTTATGACGTTGATTCCGCCTGCAAGTATTTATTGTCTATTAGGTTAACAAAACAGACAATAATCCCTGTACTTATGGAACCTATATACTAGCTGGAGGATATAGACAATAAGCAGTAAACGTAAGTGAGTCACATAGAATGCTAGAAAATGGTACCAAGCATGGTGGCCCACTCCTATAATCCCAGAACTTTGGGAGGCCAAGGCAGGCGGATCACTTGAGGTCGGGAGTTCAAGACCAGCCTGACCAACATGGAGAAACCCCTTCTAAACTAAAAATACAAATTAGCCCAGCATGGTGGCACATGCCTGTAATCTCAGCTACTCCAGAGGCTGAGGCAAGAGAATCACTTGAACCCAGGAGGGAGAGGTTGCAGTGAGACAAGATCGTACCATTGCATTCCAGCCTGGGCAACAGAATGAGACTCCATCTTGGCCAGGCATGGTGGCTCATGCCTGTAATCCCAGCACTTTGGGAGGCCGAGGCGGGTGAATCATGAGGTCAGGAGTTAGAGACCAGTTTGGCCAGCATGGTAAAACCCTGTCTCTACTAAAAATACAAAAAAAATTACCCAGGTGTGGTGGTAGGTGCCTGTAACCCTAGTTACTCAGGAGGCAGAGGCAGAATTAATTGCTTCAACCCAGGAGGTGGAGGTTTCAGTGAGCCGCGATTGTACTACTGCACTCCAGCCTGGGTGACGGTGAGACTCTGACTCAAAAAAAAAAAAAAGAAAAGAAAAAAAATTACCCAGGCATGGTCAGACATAGCGGCACATGCCTGTAGTCCCAGCTACTCAGGAGGCTAAGGTGGGAAAATATTGAACTTGGGAGGTGGAAGTTGCAGTGAGCCAAGGTCTCATAACTGCACTCTAGCCTGGGTGACAGAACAAGACTCTGTCTCAAAAAAAAAAAAAAAAATTATAAGATTTATTTATTTTGGGCCGGGCGCGGTGGCTCAAGCCTGTAATCCCAGCACTTTGGGAGGCCAAGGCGGGTGGATCACGAGGTCAAGAGATCGAGACCATCCTGGTCAACATGGTGA